AGAAATGGATTAAGGGGAAGAAAATGGATGGATGCATGGATGGTATGTCTTTGAAGAGCCTAGTCGGGATTGCGTCTAACATGCAAGTTGAGGCTTTTGAGGATGTAACCACAGAGATCACTTCTGCTTGGCTCACAGCCATGAATTTATCGAGGCCCACTGAAGAGTCCAAGTGGGAAGTCAAGTATGCCGCTTCAGCCTGTCCACTACCAACAGCAGGAGTAACCTCTTCCAGTTTGTCACGAGTGGATGTAATTGTATTATTAAAGAAATGGAGAAAGTCGACACTGCTCAGTGAGCTTGGAAATTTAGGCTCGATTGCGCTATGGCAGTTTGTGAGTTTAGGGACGGTGCTAAACAAAAATCTACTGTTATTTTTATTCGCTTCTATTAAAGTTGAATAGTCTTGAGTTCGAGCCCTGCGAAGGGCATTCATGTAGGTTCGGAGACCTGCTTTCCACTCCCTGTGGACAGGCTCCGAGTGGGAGTGGCGATATAGCCTCTCCAATTTTCTGACGTCCTGTTTTAAAGTGTGGAGTTGAACACTGTACCAGGGCGACAATGATCTAATCCTAATAGATTTCTGTTTGAAAAGGAGCTGCTGCATTTAATGCAGATTTTAAAGACTCCATAGTGTTGTCCACCGTTTGGTCAATGACTGAGGGACTGCAGCAGCTGTGAACAGGTTCACCTGCAGCAGTATTCAACATTGGCTGTATTAGTTCTTTGAACCTTGTGATAGATTTCTCATTTAAGGTTCTTTTCATTATGGTTTTATATTGCGGGGAAGCTGATAAAGGGTTCAAGTTACAATTTCCTACCATACACTCTTCTATTCACATTATATTTAAATCTGTATAACCTTGGTAATTTTATGAATAAGGACTGAGCTATATTTGCTAAATACAAAAAAGTTTTATTTTTGGTCAACACACACAACAGCGCCCGGGAACCCATCTCCAGATGTTGATGCTCGGCTTGGTCAGGACTACCGGAGCTGGAGGATTTAACCTAGTGAGGTATTACGTGGTTACTCCACAGTTCAAAACAAGTCAGCACTTGCCAATGGTGGATGCATTCATTTTTAGACAAAGTAGGCAAATTTCTTATGGCACACCAGATAATATCATGCGGCACAGTGGTTGAAAATCACTTCCCTAGGAGGTAATAGCAGCAGTCACGCCACCAATATTATAATAGATCCATGCACCCCACCAATGTTTCTAGTTACGTGTGGCCCGTTCATGACGTGGTCTGACAACCCCTCCCACGCTTAGGAGATAATTTGAGGTACTAGTTTTAATGGAAAAGCACCCACACATCGTACCATGACTGTGGAAATGCGCCATTAGGCTCAATACAAATTACTTTACTACAAAGTGATGCGCAAACGAGGGCCATGCAAATATATCAATTGTATTAAACACATGCACTATTCACATGAAATATCACATTTTGTGCTAATGTGCTAACTAATGATTACTGTAAATACAACTGTTATAACAAAGAAAATCTGTTACAAAAGCCTCCTCTTTGGGTTTTAATTATTACTTCCACAATTAAGACGGTTAGCAACGCGCTCTATTCTGGGCATCGGCGCTGTTCAACCGCGGGTAGCAGGTTAGCGAAGGAGCTTTGCACTGGACAAAAAATATTTTTAATCACCTAATAGACCTCTGATTTGACAATAGAGGGGGGTATGTCCCGCCTCAAATGTCATTACAATTAACTTTTATGTCCTAATTCAAACGTATATTCAACGTTTATCATTGCCTCATCATGGCTGCTCCTTTATCCATGCAACTGAGGGACACGCCTTACGTCAGATTGACGATTAGGAGGACCAGTTAATAAGGTGATCCACAGAATCCTCAGGTATACCACTTAAGTATAAAAAATATTTAGAAACAAGTATGAAGTGTATGGCTAAAAATGCTATAGGCCTGTACCTCCCTATGCTGATACCAGAAGGACGGGTTTAAGACCACAGAGAAGGCCCTGTCCCGGGGGTCACGACCACAGGGAAGGCCCTGTACTCGGGCGGAGCTCCAATCACCCTTCGCTGGCCTGCTGGGAGTACATTTTCCTACGGCCTCCGCGTTGTGTCCCACTAGCGAAGTCCTAAGGGACGTAGCACCATGACGTAGAATTAATAGTTACTTAATGTAACTTAAGTTCTACGAATAGGTGCGTAGTCCCTTAGCTACGAGCCCATCAGGCCAGCCCGGCTTGGCAGAGTTCAAGAGGGGGTGCGGCCTTGTGCAGGGGCATTTATAGAGGAAGGTGGCTGGTGATTGGAGCAAATTATTTTGATCTCTCTGGCGTGTGACCTGGGGGTCACGTGATATCCCACTAGCGAAGTCCTAAGGGACTACGCACCTATTCGTAGAACTTAAGTTACATTAAGTAACTATTAATTATTGTATATTTTGTTAGCAGTGTGTTGCTTTGGTACCATTCCATCATTGATTGCTGTAGAGCTAACTAATGCCTATCTGCTCTGTCGTCATCTCACACGCATGTGTCCGCGGAACTTAGTGTTATTATGGGATGCATGGGCGGATCATTTGGTACATGCATTTTTTTTAACACGATTAATGAAAAAAAGTGAAATTAACGTCCGTTAACGCGATATTTTTGACAGCCCTAATATATACGTTTAAATATTCATATTGCATTTTAGCTGAGAGAATTTTGAATGTACATATAATTCGGCCTATGTTCATGAAGTTGCACCACTGCGTAAAATGAATATTATAAATTCATGTTATGGGGTGAATATTATTTTATATCATTTTTACTACTGTAGTTATTGTTGAAGGACTTCAATCATTTCATTATTTGCAGTGTGATGCTTGTGAAAGGATTCATCTAATATTTGTTGTTGTCGATTGAACCACATCACAATAACCAATTTAGTTGGGGACCCCTGCTATAGTTCAAAGGATAATGATGAGAGACCCTTTGTGCAGCTGAAAACACTTGTGCTTAAAGAAGCTATTAAAGCGATCACCTGTAATCTAGTACAGGGGTTCCCAAAGTTTTTAGCCCGCGACCCCCATCATAAATGCCCTGCTAACCCGCGACATTAAAAGCTGGCGGCCGCTTTCTGCTGTTACTTTATGCGGTTCATCCCCGCGGCTTCTCTTTCCAAAGTTACTGTCAGTAAAGGCATAAACCGGCCACCCGCTTTTAATGTGCGGACCTCTTTACCTTTGACTCCGAAAAGCCGGGCCTCTTTAACGCGCTGTTCTACCGCTGTCCTCCCTCCCTCCTCTGCCCTCTCTCCCTCCTTTGCCCTCTCTCCCTCTCTTCGCACCATCAGCCTGACCCCTGATACACTCAAAAAAATAGCTCATTGGACTAACTCAAAACAAATGTGGGCAAGATTTCCATTAAGAAAATATTGTTTATTTCAACTCAAATATAATCATTTTGCTCTTTGTGATGCAATTCACTTGTGTCAACAATATATATTTCCATAAGACCAACTCAAATTGAATAATTGTATGTAAAATGACTACATTGAGTTGGTTAAAGTCAATAATATAATGTTGATCCTACAGTAGGTGAAGGTAATACAAAAGATGAATTGATCTAAATGGATTTAGCTCAACTCAATAAAATATAATTCTCAGTAAAATACATAATAATAATAATACACGCAATTTATATTTGTTTCAAACAAAAGTTTATTGATTCTAGTCACAAATTTTGAAATTGAGTTGTGATGTCGCCATTTAGGAATGAAAAACTACTTTTAACATTAGCTCATTCTTCAGAGCTGGAACAACTTTTTGAGACGTTTTGAAACAAGTTTGTAAAACCACTCATTACACTTCATATTTACATGAAAATTTTTATTTTTAACTGCTGGACTTTTGTGTTCAAATTGTGTCCGTCCATCACCATGGCAATCTTTTGTACGAACTCAAAAGTATACTTCAGCTTCTCAGGATAGCTGAGATCTAGGGCATAGATAAGTCCAAACAGCAAAATGAAAGCAGCGATCACAGTCTTCACCCCAGCAAGAACCTTGATTCCTTCAAGGACGATCCAAACGTCCTCCACCAATCCGTGCTCGGATCTCCTGAAGACAAAGATCCCCATTACGGTGTTCTCTGCTTCTTTCTCTGCTTCCATGATCTCAGATATCTTCAAAACATACAAATAAAATGACATTATATAAACAAGTAACACACAAATAAAACTCAGTGTTTTAAAACATGTCTGCTGTGTTAAAAATTATATCTTATTTCCCCAAAGTACATGTCAACAATCATAATTTTGGCTGTCATATAATCACCCTACCCACTACAGAGGAATATTATATATATATAATAATTTAAAGAGTCATTATATGCACTATTAAACAATGAATGCATTATATTAAATCAAATTAAATAAGTACAAGTACAATTTATTAAATTAATGCATAATGTAATAATTAAAATGGGATATAAATGTGTTAAATGTGTCAATACATAATTTAAAGAATCATAATATATAGGCCTATTCAATTATTTGAATATTTCATTGCGTGAAGTGCAAATCTGTCAGAAGCACTGGTCAAAATGAGAAGGCGGGACTTCGGGCGAGTCTAGAAACACTGGGAGGAGGTAGGCTCCCACTCATGAGAGACCTGGGAAGAGACTTCTCTCCCCGGGCAGGCTCATGAGATATACCCATACACAGACTAGGAGCTCATATAGAGGTGCAGGACTTCTATGGACTGCGAGACTCCTAGAGCCTCCGAAATACTCTACTGCCCTCGCTGACAGAGCAGAGTGCTCAGAGTTCGGCTGTGGATTAGCTTTGACGCCCAGCACCAGGACTTTCACTGAACTTAAAAAGGTGCTTATGAACTACAATGCGTGTACATCAGTATGTATGATGCATTCAGTGACAGTCCGTACAAATAAATTTGGCTGAACACTACAGGGCACACATTTTATGTTACGTCTGTTCAAATCATGTTTTGATTGCGGGGGCTGAAGATAATGAAGTATCACTGTGTCAGAGCAAAGGATGAGACCACGCAGCGGGAGACACACGAGGACCTGCTGGTGCCACAGACTCGGCCATGTTTTCTCCCCACAGTGCTCACACACCCGGCTCTCTGGACTGATGCGAACCAGCAATCGGTCAGTCATGCCCCATCCAGGTCTGACCGCTCTGGTTTTGTTCTGGTCTGAGACCAGGGACTGGACCTGGTCTTGATCTGGCCTCAGACACATCAAGCCCTCATGGTGTTTCTGAGGCTCCTTTTATTAAACTCCAGGGTACAGCTGAAGTGAAATGGACTCGCCCGAAGCACAGGACGAGTGGCTCTTGACAGATATGCATTTTATGATGTTGGTTCATAATGGAAATATTTAGACCTATTCAATAATTTCAAGATTTCAATGTTTCTTAAATATATATTTAAACATGCATTCATTTAATTATTGCCACATTATATACATATATACATATATATAATGTGGCAATAATTAAATTAATCTTAATGTCCTTAAAAGTCTTGCTTTTATACACCGCGAGTGCACAAACTCAGTCACTTATTGACAGCCCATGTATTGTGATACATATTGTATCGTTACTTTGGCGTATCATTACAGATCTAATGCAGCCAATGTACAGTTTCTAATTTTGAGATTGTGGGGGCTTTGATGCATTCATCATCGTCCGAGTTCACATACAAGTATTTAAAAACTTAATGAAATAATCCATGGTGATTTGCCTTGAAGGTGAATTCCTTAAGGGTTCCTAATTTGTGCATTTTAGCACCCCCCTATGGTGCTCAGTGTAGCGTCACCCAATGTTGAGCACACTCATGTGTGTGGCGCACACCACTTTACGGGCACACGCATTTTCAGTTTCAGGACGAAACTCAAGGATAGTGGAGCGGTACCGAGCCGCACAGACTGATAAACAAAACTGCTCTGTGTTTACCGAGGACACACTGGAAATATTAGATTTGTTTGCAATTCTTTTTGAGTGGCATTTTGAGTTAAGGAATACACCTTTAACAAAACAAGCTTTGAATGTCAAAGAAATACATACCGAATAATCTTTAAAGATGGAGATTGGATCCTCATTTAGGTATATCATAAGCGATTTGAGAATGTACTCCCGCCTGATCTCGATATCTTGCTAAAAGTACAGACAAATGCCTTAAATCATCTCTGCAGGTCAAAATTAGCAAGAGAACAATTGAGGTGCAGGAAACACTTTTGGACGCTCACCCCTTCACTCAGCTGTAGGAGTCTTTTAATCCGCTGGCCTTTGGATCCCCCCTTTGGTTGAAAAATCTTTAGAAGCTTGTCTGTGAAGTGATCCATCTGGGAGTGGAATTTTGAGACAAGTGGCTTTGTTGTAATCCTTATGAACTCATTCTGTACCTGAAAATATAACAAAAACAAACATTGTATTACAGAGATGCACTGATACCAACTTGATTAATGCAGACCCGCTTGGGAATAGACCCAATGAATTGACCCTAGGCTAGACCTGGACCAAGACCAGACCTAGATCACAATCGACATTATACACTATGTAGACAGTAAATTGATTAAGCTACTCACTCCTTCTGGGGTAAACAGAGCAGGCCATCTGTCTCTGACATCTGCTACTCTTGGTCTTTGGTCCACTATCTCCAGTCTTCGATGTCTTTTCCATCATTGAGTGGATGATAGGGTCATTGTCACTTTGTTTTACCTCCGCCAATAAGGCAATCCTTTTAGTTTCCATGCTTTCAGGGGTTTCCCCTTTAGGGTACAGGGGAAGATAGTGCGTTTCAGCTTTTTGAGCTTTCTTGATACTTGCAGCCGCTTTTCCTATTCCTTCCCGTTTATGCTTCAGGGAGTTCATCCGGATTTCTGGATCCCCAAGACGACCCAATTTTGTACGATAGTTTTGCATTTTGTATTGCAATGACTTTTTCCATCCCCAGAACCCATTTTTGGTTCCAAGCTGTCCCAAACATGGATGAGTTTTTGTTAAGGCCGCAGCCACTTCTTCACACTGGTAATCTTTTGGATATTTTGTGTATTTCAACATTTCCTGCGCAAGGAAATCAAGAATAACACTCTTCAGCTTGACACCTGGAGTGTGATATTTCCCATTATTGTCACATTCTTCATTTTTTTGGTGCAACTCAAGTTCTGCTTCATAAGTAAATTTAGGAATCATGAAAACCTTAGGCCAGGATGCATATCCAGACATTTCGACATCTGGTGATGAGTGAGGTGTTGATGTGCAGAGTGTGTCATCACTACAAGACGAAGCAACCAAAGAAATGGGGGTTTGGGACCTTGGTGGTTCGGGGTTTGGGGTTGAGGTCATCGGAAAATGAAGTTGTGAAACTGAGGGTTCCTCAAACGGGACAGGGTACAGCGTAATTAAAGATTCCTCAGGGGCTACTGGGGAAGTGATCACTTTTATAACACTCTTGTTGGTTATTTCCGTAATTGCAGTCAAATTCATGAATGCCTCAAAGTCTTCGTCAAAATATTGCATTCTGAAATTGTCTTTGATTTTGAAAGTATCTTCTATTGTTGCATGGAGATCCTCTACCGTTTCAGGAATTCCAGAAACAAGGGTCAAGTTTCTGGAATCTGATTCATCGCCAAACAAGACCCGCAGAACAGATGCCATTCTCAGGATGTTTCAGTCTGGTGGGAAAAATAAAATCAGTTTATTATGTATGACAAACATGCATTTGCCAAAAGAGATAAATGTTGAAATAACACAGATAATGGGTATATGCTGTGCCTTTGCGAATGTATCTGGGCAGTATCAGCGACAGCTTGAACTCTTGAATTTTGTTACTGAAGGACCACAACTAGGGATGCACCGTGTGGAGGAGCCATGGGTCAATAACTGGATAGGGCATTACTAGCTTAAAGCTGTCCCATCCATGGGCACAAGGGGCGCCCGTGGTACTGCAGACTAAATTCACGTGGGCTACACAGGAAAAAGTCCTAAAGAACTCAATGTAAACTAAAACAGCTGGACCTCAGCTGACAGAGAACCTACAGCTTTCATAAAGATCGGATTTTGTGGGGATGTTAGTGTCTCTTGTCGCCCTGAACTTTTCTTCTTAAATCCTTCCCGCTCTGACTCCGCCCACTGCTCTGATCAGCTCCGATTGGTCAGAGCCCCTCTGTGCACGTGCATGAGAGCCACACACGCGTATGTGGCGCAACGCATCATGGGAGATAATCCACTGTGCAAAACCGGGAGGACCAGACGATGCCCAAATATAGAAGAGTTCTGCTATCTCCCGGTCTCCGTGAAATCCCATGCGCTACCGACAAGCCCCGGTGATCCAAGATGGCGCCCTATTCAAATGAATGGCTTTTGCTCAGTAGCGCATGGGACTTCACGGAGACTGGGAGTTTAGGTGAACTCACCTATATTTGGGCATTGTCTGGTCCTCCCGGTTCTGTGCAGTGGATTAGCGCAATGCATCATGGGAGATATCTCCCATGGTGAGTTGCGCCAAATATGCGTGTGTGGGTCTCGCATGAGGTCTCACGCACGTGCACAGAGGGGCTCGCCGCACTCTGACCAATCAGAGCAGTTCATCAGAGCAGCAGCAGAGCGGAGTCAGAGCGGGAAGGAAAGGAGCAGAGTTTGGGGCAGTAAAGTGTGGATATAAAGAAAACCGAAGAATTTAAGAAGAAAAAAAGTTCAGGATGACAAGGGACACTAAAATCCCCACAAAATATGATCTTTATGAAAGCTGTAGGTTCTCTGTCAGCTGAGGTCAAGCTGTTTTAATTTACATTGAGTTCTATGGGACTTTTTCCTGTGTAGCCCACGTGAATTTAGTTTGCAGTACCACGGGCGCCCCCTGTGCCCATGGGTGGGACAGCTGTAAGCTAGTAATACCCTATCCAGTTATTATTATAGATCCATGGCTACCGACCACAAGCCATTCATTTGAATTGGGATCATGCATTGCTTCGGCTTTCAATGCAAAGTCAATGGTGACGCGCGTTCGAGCGTCAAACGCATGGACCTCTTGGAATGCACGCACGGACCGCGATGGGAAGTCGAAGGGGAGATGAATTTTGCTCAACCTCTCCTCGGGACGTTCATGCAGCAACCAATCAGAGAGCCGCAAAGTGGTCACGGGAACATTAGCGGACTGAGCGAGCAGACTGAGCACTCGTAAACGGCCAAAACAGGAGCTACATCAGAACTAAACAAGGATTGACAATGGGGGACCGTGGAAGGTCCCTGAACATAGACACGCTGCAAAGCTGCATTATTGGAGAAGATCTGTGCACAAGAAGCCGCTAGCTAAGCTGTTAGCATCAGAACCCGCCGGCTACTTCCGGCACTTCCGGCCTCTGGTCTGAAGACCTCTGCGTCTGAGAACCAGAGAGCAGGCGTTTCAGTGTTGCTGGTCTGAAAACACCATAAGATCACCGGGGCTTGGGAGGAGCGCAGCCGATCTAACAAGGTTTCTTTTTCTTTTTTGATCAAATAAATTATATTACACTTTCATCCTAGGCACATTTCTTTTATATTTTGTTGTACCTATTTTGATTGTATTTGCCTGATTTGAGATCTCTCTATATCCATCTCAAATCAGGCAAATACAATCAAACTAGGTACAACAAAATGTAAAAAAGGGAAATGTAAAAAGTATATAATTTATATGATCAAAAGTTCTTCATAAAAATAAAAAAAATTGACAAAAAAATTTCATTTACAAATATACCAGCCTTTGACAATGATGAATCTTTTTAACATCAACATGCGCATCCCCCCAACCATATACTCATTAAGGGGATATGGGTCTTCCAAGTTGCCCAGATCAATAAGGGCAACCTCTGCTGCAGCTGGGTCAGTAAGTTCAAATGCACCAAAGTGCTCCCTATACCAGGCACACTCGTCTTTCACCAAAAAACACAACTGGTCCTTCAGAATGCAAAGTTTAAGGATTTTGTGGAACCTAGGCAGACCATCTCCTAGTGCCGCAGAGAACGTTCATATTTTTAAGAGTAGGCTCAAGACGCACCTTTTTAGAGCAGCTTTTGATTAGTATTTATTATCTATTATTGCTTTTTAGTACATCTATTTATGTTTTTAGACGGATTATATTTTTATTTATTTTTATTATTTACTATTTTTAATTATTTATTGTATCTACCCATTTACTATTGTTATTATATTAGGCAGCTGCCATTTTTCTTTTTATTTTCACATTCTATTGTTCTACTTTCTATTGTATTATTGTATTGTTTTAGTGTCCCCAGTGTTTCCTCTGGAGGAGCCCTCTGCACTGAGAGCTGGGGTCTGCTGTGGCTTCGGGGGACTGGCTCTTGGATCCGGTGGGGGTCTGGGGCCTCCTCTCTCCTCTGGGTCCTATGGGGTCTGAGTCCTGGGCCTGGTGGGGTCTGGGGCCCCTCTCTCCTCTGGGTCCTGTGTCGTTGCCTGTGGCTGCAGCCGGCTCTCTGCTCCTGGTGCAGATGGCTCCTTGGATGACGCTTCTTCAGCCGGTTACATCTGCTCCCAGCCCCATTTCTTTTTATTGTTTTACCTATTTTACCTGATATGACTTTATACTTGTGTATATGTGTGTGTGTGTGTGTGTGTGTGTGTGTGTGTGTGTGTGTGTGTGTGTGTGTGTGTGTGTGTGTGTGTGTGTGTGTGTGTGTGTGTGTGTGTGTGTGTGTGTGTGTGTGTGTGTGTGTGTGTGTGTTGTGTGTGTGTGTGTGTGTGTGTGTATTGTATATATAATTATAAATGTGATTTTGGGGGGTCTGTGGGGAGGAGGGTTTAGGGCTGGGCATGTTGGATTGTTTTTAACTAAACTGTAAAGCACTTTGTGTTACACTTTTTGTATGAAAAGCGCTTTATAAATAAAATTTGATTGATTGATTGATTGATTGATGGATGATATGCATCCCCTCACTGTAACGGATTCCCCTGCAACACGCATGTTTTGCCAAATGAACCACAGTCATATCTGGGTATGTCTGCTTTAATGCAGAGATAATTGCCTCATTCAAAACATGAACAGGCATAACTGAGACATTGGTAACCTATACAGATGATTTCTTGAGAGTTGAAGAATGAGTATGGTAGCACATCATGAATTGATGTTTTGTAGCTAATGAAAAAAGTATGTTCTTGAAGCAGTTTGTATGGCGAGCAACCTGTTTGAAGAAGCTATGTTTCGCTTCGAACCGCATTGTCCACAATGAAATGAGGGGGCCAAAGCAACGGATCAACTCGGGGTAATGTTCCAAGAAGTGATGCTTGGGAAGTAGTCTGACATTTGGAAGCAGTTCAAGGTAGCGCTCTCTGTGGTCATGGATTCTTGCAATGGTTTCTTCTGAATGCAAAGGAGCAACAACCAGCTCAACTATGTCTTTGAGATCCAAGATAACTTGCCATGTCATTTCGTTTTCAGGAACATATTCACCAATAATCAAAGGAAGCAGTCGAAGCAAGGTCCAATTTTCGTGAGCATTCCCATCTATACTTTTGTTTGATACAATGGTTTGTGGTATAGCCTGGGGCTGATTTGTTTTGTCTGCTCCCTTGTATGGAAAGGTCTGGATTAATGAGTTGAGGTGATTAAAAGAAAAGTATTTCTTTGAAACCAGCAAGTTCAAACAGTATGACAGTTCAACAGGCACAATTCCCTCAAAAAGGTCATGCAAAAGATCAGGAGGATAGCCAGTACAAACATTGAAGTGTGACAGATGCTTGGTAAAAATGCAGTGACAGTGCAGTCTGAAAAAACCAGACATGACTTCGTTTGTCTGAAAGTCAGACTTATCTCCAGTACAAAATCTGCAAACTGACCCCCCAGAAAAACCCCTTTCAATAAACCCACCTATTCCATGGGCTGCAAGGTTGTCCGCGAAAACACACTGGACAGTTCCTTTGACAAACTGACCACGAAGAGGAATGAAGACACCTTGATTCTCCAATATCAATAGATCTTGTAAGAGAGGCTCAAACACCTTTTCATACCCATAAACCTTCAAGTCATTGGTTTTGCAAAGCAAGGCTAAAGGAATGGACGTTAGTTTTGAGGTGGAACCTGGTGGCAAATTGCCCAACACCCAATAGACACCACATACTTTGTTTTCTTCGAGATGTGCCCAGTGGATTACATATTTCGAAGTCATCCACGTAGAGATGTAATGCTATCCTTGGTTCTTTGCAAGACAGGAAAACATTTTGTTTAAAGTACTTTCCATCTTTAATGGTTCTGTAGTTTTGTGGGGAAGAAAATGTGCAGTCCTTCTGATTTTCAATATGCACAAGCACATCTTCACAAGTAAGCAACTGCTGCAGAGTTTGTAAAAGAGGAATGTATTAGAA